CTCGGCAGCAAGTACAGTGTCCAGCGTAGCACCTCAAACCTTGGGGTGTCCTACTATGTGAAGCCTGACTTTTCAACCGACTACCAAGGGAGCATTAGGCGGTTAGAGCAGCATGTAGAGGAGGACTATGTGTCTACTTTACGAAACGCTTGCTTTAAAGAGAAGAATTATAGTGAGTGGTGCTGTTCTTATTGAGTTTGTTTCTTTTCCTGCTTTGTCTTTCTTTCATTTCTCCTCCCTTTTTTTTTTTACATGTCTTTGTCAATATATTGCGTGGGCAATGCAATGTTTTCTTTTTCATTTTTACGTATTTTTATATTTATATAATATTCTCTGAAATAAACTTTTCTTTACATTAACCCACTAGCGCCATTATATTTTGAAAACAAAAATAATAGTTTCCGGGCAGCTTAAAAATCGGCGCACAGGGCTGGCCGGGTGTCTCATATGTGAGACACCCCGTCGTAAATGGGTTAAGGAAATTGCATATAGCAGTTGCACTATATTTCCTTTTCTTTTTTTCTTTCTTGATTTTATTTTATTTCACTCCTTTATTTTATTCTTTCTTTCTGTTGGTTTTATGGATCCTAATGTCAGTACTTTTTAACTTGCTCAGTATTTTAACTTTAAAGATAAATTTTCTCCCTCCACCCCAAGCTCTCTAGAGTCTTCAAGAAGCATAGTATAAATCTTAGTATAATGAACTACATCAGAATGAATCTAAATCTTTATTTTATTTTTATTGCTGTTATTTTGATTGATGTATTTAATGATGGATCATTTTCCCCTAACCATATTATCCTTCCCTTCCAGAGGAAAACATGATATGGAGAGCCCGGTCCTTTGGCGACGCGCAGATGTTCAAGCGAGCTCAGGAGTTACGAACCCCTTCGTGCGACTCGCTGCAGAGTCTCTATAGTTAAGGATGCACTCCACAATAAGCTCTGTTAATGTAGATCTTGAGCATTGCTTCATTCTGCTGTAAGTTGGTCAGAATGTTTAGTGTAACACACAAGCCTTGCTTGAACTCTCAGTAAGAATCTATGGCTCTTGCATCAGTCTTTCAGTGCAGGCATTTCAGCAGCGATCAACAGCAGAAGATATATGTGTACAGATGAGACATATGTGTGTGTGTGTGTGTTTATATATGTATATATATGTGTGTGTGTATGTAAAAGAATATATATATATATATATATATATATATATATATATATATATATATATATATATATAATTCATATAAACGCACATATGTAAAAAAATGTATATGTATATATATATTCACACACAAACTAACTAACTCTCTCTCTCTCTCTCTCTCTCTCTCTCTCTCTCTCTCTCTCTCTCTCTCTCTCTCTCTCTCTCTCTCTCTCTCTCTCTCTCTCTCTCTCTCTCTCTCTCTCTCTCTCTCTCTTCTCTCTCTCTTCTCTCTTTCTCTCCTTCTCTCTCTTCTCTCTCTCTCTCTCTCTTTTCTGTGTGTGTGTGTGGTGTGTGTGTGTGTGTGTGTGTGTGTGAGTGAGTGAGTGAGTGAGAGAGAAATACGTATGGGTATGTATGGGCCATAGCAATAGATCCCTATTGCTATGAGTTTGAAATTTATAGAAATATGTTAGCCCACTAATGCCGGTATATTTTGAAGTCAAAAACAATATTTTCCACGGGGCCGGCCCAGAATCTGCCCGCGGGCCAAGTTCCAATCCAATGCCAGGTGATGTTTATTTCTCCGGGTTTCTCATATAGGGGAAACACATCGTAAATGGGTTAACAGCAGTTTTTTAAATCAAGAAGAGTTCTTTTGAATGTATTGGCTTCTCTTTTGATTTATTAGGCCCTTTTAGAGTTAAAAAGCCATTTGTTGAAATGAAAAGGTCTTGACTTTTGATGAGTGTGTACATATGATGCACGCTTGAGTCAGGTGTTGTCGATGTTAGCCTGGTTTTTATACAGGGGACCCCAGTATGTGTTCCCCAGTTTTTCACCTTTTCACTCATTCATTCATGATAATTTTTTGATACTTTGTTAATTCTCTTTACAAATGAAGGTCTCCACAAGAGCTTAGTCACCAAGCAGTCAATTAGTATTACCTATCTTACATGTTTACCCTTTTCCTTGATTTTTAGAAGTATTCTGTTTTATCTCGTATTGATATTAGAGATCATAAAATTTTGATAATTATGTCTGTAATAATGATAACCCTATCAGTATGGACAGCATATGTAAAGGAAGCTTTTTTCCTAAAAACTCAAGGAAAGGGTTAGGTCATGAGGTCTACTAATTGACTCCTTGTGGAACCATCTGTGTGTGAATACACTTCACATAACAGACCAACAGTGAACATTACCTTTTCCCTGCAGGATTAGTTAAGTGTGTGATGTTTATGAGTCGTGTGTGACTAGTGCTATTTTGGTATACTTTGAGCATCTGTTTTCATCTCGTGTATAAGAGAGCATTCGACGGCATAGTATTATCCAAACACATCAAAAAGGCAACAACAACC